GCGCCCATGCCGGCACACCCCGTACAGCGTTTCGTGGCCCCATAGGGAGCTCTTCAGTGGCTGTGTTCGCATGACACCGCCACACCCATGTCGGCACACCCCGCACTCGTTTCGTGGCCCCATAGGGAACCCCTCCGAACGCCCCAGTGGATGCGCTCGCATGACACCGCCGCCCCCATGTCGGCACACCCCTCACACGTTTCATGGCCCCATAGGGAGCCCCACCAAAGGCTTCAGTGGCTGCGCTCGCATGACACCGCCGCACGTTTCGTGGCCCCAGCAGGACCTCCACCGAAGGCCCAAGTGGCTGCGCTCGCATGACACCGCCGCGCCCATTTCGGCACACCTGTCACACGTTTCGTGGCACCATAAGGAGCTCCACCGAAGACGATACCAACACTTGCGTTATTCACAACTGCATATGGTTGGGTCTTTCGCCAACGTACTTTGACCTTTTTTTCCCATCCTGTGGTTTTGGGTCTTCGTTTTGAAGAGACGGTCCCCGCGTTCCTCCTCTCTCCTCTTTTCCTCGTCCCTGTCCTCCTCCCCCTCCCACCATCCTCCCTCCTCCCTGCTTTTCCCCCACCCCAGTACAACGTTTCGTGGCCCCATCGGGAGCACCACCGAAGGCCCTGGTGGGAGTGCCCGCGTGCGTCCGCCACACCCAGTGCAGCGTTTCGTGACCCCATAGGGAGTTCCATCGAAGGCCCCAGCGGGGCGGGGGTGCCCGCATGCGTCCGCCACACCCAGTACAGCGCTTCGTGGCCCCATAGGGCGCTCCACCGAAGGCTCCAGTATGGGTGTCCGCATGCGTCCGCCACACCCAGTACAGCGTTTGGTGGCTTCATAGGGATCCCCACCGAAGGCCCCAGTGGCGGTGCCCGCATGCGTCCGCCACACCCAGTACAGTGTTACGCGGCCCCATAGGGAGCTCCTCAATGGCTGTGTTCGCATGACACCGCCGCACCCATGTCGGCACACCCCGCACTCGTTTCGTGGCCCCATGGGGAACCCCACCGAACGCCCCAGTGGCTGCGCTCGCATGACACCGCCGCCCCCATGTCTTCACACCCCTCACACGTTTCGTGGCCCCATAGGGAGCCCCACCAAAAGGCTTCAGCGGCTGCGTTCGCATGACACCGCCGCACGTTTCGTGGCCCCAGCAGGACCTCCACCGAAGGCCCAAGTGGCTGCGCTCGCATGACACCGCCGCGCCCATTTCGGCACACCTGTCACACGTTTCGTGGCACCATAAGGAGCTCCACCGAAGACGATACCAACACTTGCGTTATTCACAACTGCATATGGTTGGGTCTTTCGCCAACATACTCTGATTTTTTTCCCATCCTGTGGTTTTGGGTCTTCGTTTTGAAGAGACGGTCCCCGCGTTCCTCGCTCCTCTTTTCCTCGTCCCTGTCCTCCTCCCCCTCCCCCCATCCTCCCTCCTCCCTGCTTTTCCCCCACCCCAGTACAACGTTTCGTGGCCCCATCGGGAGCACCACCGAAGGCCCTGGTGGGAGTGCCCGCATGCGTCCGCCACACCCAGTGCAGCGTTTCGTGACCCCATAGGGAGTTCCACCGAAGGCCCCAGTGGGGCGGGGGTGCCCGCATGCGTCCGCCACACCCAGTACAGCGCTTAGTGGCCCCATAGGGCGCTCCACCGAAGGCTCCAGTATGGGTGTCCGCATGCGTCCGCCACACCCAGTACAGCGTTTGGTGGCTTCATAGGGATCCCCACCGAAGGCCCCAGTGGGGGTGCCCGCATGCGTCCGCCACACCCAGTACAGTGTTACGTGGCCCCATAGGGATCCCCACCGAAGGCCCCAGTGGCGGTGCCCGCATGCGTCCGCCACACGCAGTGCAACGTTTCGTGGCCCCATAGGGAGCTTCAGCGAAGGCCCCAATGGGGGTGCCCGCGTGCGTCTGCCACACCCCGTACAGCGTTTCGTGGCCCCATAGGGAGCTCCAGCGAAAGCCCCAGTTTGGGTGCCCGCATGCGTCCGCCACACGCAGTGCAACGTTTCGTGGCCCCATCGGGAGCTCCACCGAAGGCTCCAGTGGGGGTGTTCGCATGCGTCGCCACACCCAGTGCAGCGTTTCGTGGCCCCAGATGGGAGCTCCAGCGAAGGTCCTAGTGGGACCGCCCGCATGCGTCCCCCCCACCCAGTGCAGCGTTTCGTGACCCCATATGGGGGCTCCACCGAAGGCCTCTATGGCATCGCCCGCATGCGTCCTCCCAACCTACTACAGTGCGTCGTGGCCCCACAGGGAGCTCCACCGAAGGCTTCAGTGGGACCATCCGCATGCGTCCACCCACCCATCACCGCACGCCCCATCACGCGTTGCGTGGCCCACCGGAAGCGGTACCCACAACGCGTTTCTCACAACTACATCAGGTTGGGTACTTCGCCAGGATAATTCAATTTTTGCATCCGAAGTCCGCCTGTTGCATGACATGCTCGACCTAAAGTCAGTTAGCGGTCCAGCGCCGATACCAGAAGTGCGCGCGGACCTCACAACGCGGATGCTTGTTTTTTTGTTGCTCTGAGGGGCGTGCTCCCCGAGGTCAGGCCACGCGCTGCCAAACCCCGCCCGCCTACTATTCGATTCGATGCAACCCGATTTGCCGGCGGGGACCGCGCTTTCGATTCGATCCGATTCGGTTTGATTCACCGGCATCGGCCAGGGCCAGCCGGAGCCAGGAGCGACGGTCTGACTTCGGTTCAGTTGTGGACGACTCGTTGGCGGTCTGATCCGTCTCCGGTCTGTTCCGATGTCGCGATTCGATCCCGATGTTACAGATCAGGTCTACCCCAGCCCGCTCTCCCGATGCAGAAGCAGCGCTAGACTCGTCCTGGGCAGTTGAAGGCACGATCGGAGAGCCACGGGTTGATCGACGCGGACGCCAGTCTCGCCCCTTGCTGAAGGAACGAATCGATTCGCTAACCAGCTTGCCGCTGATGCCACCAAGAGTTACCCCCTCCCAGCCTCGTAACAATTGCTAAGATTTCAGACAAGCGAGCTCTCACCCAACGCCTGCCCGTCGGTCCGCGGGGCTCTCCGAGGCCCAGCTTGCTCGTCTCACTCCTCCCGTTATCTCTGCCTCTCTCCTACCTCCCCCTCCTCCTCTTCCTCCTCCTCCTCCTCCTCCTCCTCCTCCTCCTCCTCCTCCTCCCCTCCTCCCGATGGAGGTGGAGGAGGTTGAGGAGGAGGAGGATTAGGAGGAGGAAGAGGAGGAGGAGGAGGAGGAGGAGGAGGAGGAGGAGGAGGAGGAGGAGGAGAGGGGGGTCGAGGGCGAGTTCGACGACGAGGTCGGAACGGACCCCTCTGGATTTGGTTGGGAGCTCGCTTAGCCGTGTTTGAGCTGTGCAGTTTGGTGACTATATTTGGTAGTGTCCGTTTGTGAGCACGTGGCAAGACGCTGGCCCTGTGGTGTGTCTCCGTCTCGGCTCTTTTGTGTGCTGACTCCGTCCTCGGAGTCTCGGAAGGGAGATCGCTCCAATTTACGCGTTTTTCAGAGGGATTGCAGGCCCAGGGCGTACCCACAGCGTACAGCATCATCACCATCACCATCACCATCACCATCACCATCACCATCACCATCATCATCATCATCATCATCATCATCATCATCATCATCATCATCATCATCATCATCATCGTCATCGTCATCATCATCATCATCATCATCATCATCATCACCATCACCATCACCATCACCACCACCACCACCACCACCACCACCACCACCATCACCACCACCACAATCATCATCGTCATCATCATCAGCATCCTCATCATCAGCATCGTCCTTTTCCTCTTCCTCATCCTCATCATCAGCAACATCAGCATCATCAGCATCATCATCGTCGTCGTCATATCTATAGTCAGCAGCATCAGCATCATCATCATCACCATCATCATCAGTATCATAAGCATCATCGTCACCTTCATCATCAATCTCATCCTCATCGTCATGATCATCACCATCATCAGTATCAGCGTCTTCATCTTTAGCACCATCATCAGCATCAACCATCATCGCCATCGAATTATTTTCTTCTACTTCTTCGCCATCCTCTTCTTATTCCTGACTTTCGTCTTCTTCTTCATGATCATCACCGTCGCCATTATCGCCATCATCACCATCATCATTAGCATAATCAGCACTATCATTGGCGCCAGCATCATCAACAGCATCATCAGCATCATCACCATCATTACCATCACCATCACCATCACCATCATCATAAGCATCATCATCATCACCATCACCATCACCATCACCATCATCATAAGCATGATCATCACCATCATCATTATCATCATCATCGTCATCATCATCACCATCATCATCATCATCACCAACACCATCACCATCACCATCATCATCATCATCATCATCATCATCATCATCATCATCATCATCATCATCATCATCATCATCATCATCATCATCATCATCATCATCATCATCATCATCATCATCATCATCATCATCATCATCATCATCATCATCATCATCATCATCATCATCATCATCATCATCATCATCATCATCATCATCATCATCATCATCATCATCATCATTATCATAACGTGGGTCGCGGAGGTCTGGACCCCTTCCCAGGGCCAGTGTTGCATCCTGAGTCGTTTTTTAATTGCCCCGATGCCCAGCAAGGGCACCCAGAGACCAAAAACAGCGAAGCACCTTCCGTGCTGTTTTGTTTTTCCACGGCGTGACGGGGTTTGGTGTCCAGGGGTCAACACTCGACCACCAGACCTCTCCAGAGGCGCGTTCTGACCAGAATCTCGAGGGGAATCCAGCTGTGGCCTCGAGAGATGCGGAAGGCGACCAAAAGCCCCCTTTCTCCTCCTCCTCCTCCTCCTCCTCCTCCCTCCCTCTCTCCCTCCCTCCCTCCCTCCCTCCCTCCTCCTCCTTCCCTCCCTCCTCCTTCCTCCCTCCTCCTCCTTCCTCCTTCCCCCGCCCCTCCCGGCAGATCGTGCTGGTCGGGGACGCCACGGTCGGCAAGACGCACCTCCTCTCGCGCTACATCAAGGGCGACCTGCCGAGGGCGCGCCCAGCCCGCCCTGGGCCGGCCGGTCGGTCGGAGGCCGCAGGCTGCGGGCAGCACGCGTCGGTCGGTCGGTCGGTCGGAGGCCGGTCGGTCGGTCGGTCGGTCGGAGGCCGGTCGGAGAACGGTCGGTCGGAGGTCGGTCGGTCGGTCGGAGTCGGCGGTCGGCGGGAGCCGTTCGGTCGGTGGGTCGGTCGGAGTCGGTGGGATCTCCTCGGGGTAGGAGGCGGTCGGATCGGTGCGTCTGCGTGCTCCCTGGAAAATGCTGAGCCAAATGTCGTAAGAGAGCTCTACGACGGAGTGCTGTGGATTCAATCGCTTGTTGTACACCAAATGTGTGGCGGGGTTCCCCGTCGGGGGTCCTCGGGCGGGGCTAGGACGAGGAGAAATCCTTTCCAGAGCGTTCCAGAAGATTCTCGGAGCGTTCGGGAACGCTCTGAGAAGGCCGCCGCCCGAGACATCTTCCAGAGGCGCCAGATTTCAGAGATTCCCGATTTATCCTCACTCGATTTTATCCTCGTCCTAGCTTCGTCTTCGGTCGTCGGTCGGTCGGTCGGAGTCGTAGGCTGCGGGCAGCATGCAGATCGGCGCGTCTGCGTGTTCCCTGAAAGCTGATGAGCCAAATCTTATAAGAGAACTCTACGACTTAATGGCGTGGACTCAATCACTTGTTGTACACCAAACGGTGTGGCGGGAGTCTCGCAAACGGTGCGGTGTCACACCGTGTGGTGAGTCGGTGTCGATTCGGGGTCACCACGCGGTTTTGGAGCTTGGGTCATTCTCCGAGGACGTCTCGGGCGACTTGGGCTTTCAGGGCTCCAAATCCGTGCTGTGACGGACTGTGCGGTGAGGTCCTTCGGCATCTCGAGGTCACTGCACAGTCTGTCACCGTTCGGTTTTTAGCACCCCTCAGAAGCGGGGAGATGCTGATGATGATCTTGATGATGATGCTGCTGCTGATGATGATGATGATTCTGATTATGATGGGGACGAGACTGATGATGATGCTGCTGATGATGATCAGTATGACGATGCATGATGCTGATGCTGGTGATACTCACGGTGCTGGTGATGATGATGTTGATGAGGATGCTGACGTTGATTGTCTTGCTGCTGTTGTTGCTGATGGTGATAAGGGTGATGCTGAGGATTATGACGATGATGATGACGATGAAGATCACGAGGATTAGGATCATGATGATGTTGTTGCTGCTGCTGATGATGCTGATGATGTTGACGACGCCGCTGGTGCTGATGATGATGATGCTGATGATGATAATGATGATGATGATGATGATGAGGGTGTTGGTGGTTGTGGTGGTGTTGGTGATGATGATAATGATGATGCTGATGATGATGCTGATGCTGATGATGATGATGATAATGACGATGATGGTGCTGATGATGACGATGCCGATGACGATGATGATGATGATGATGATGATGATGATGACGATGACGATGATGATGATGATGATGATGATGATGATGATGGTGGTGGTGGTGGTGGTGGTGGTGTTTGTGGTGGTTGTGGTGGTGGTGGTGGTGATGATCATGATGATGGTGGTGGTTGCTGTGGTGATGATAATGATGATGATGCTGCTGATGATGATGATGATGATGATGATGATGATGATGATGATGATGATGATGACCACGGTGGTGATGGTGATGGTGATGGTGACGGTGATGTTGACGATCAGCAGCGTCGGCGGCGGCGGCGGTGGTGCGCTGCCCGAGGCTCCCACGGCGACGATCGGCGTGGAGTTCGCCACGCGGACGGTGCCGCTGGCCGTCGGGGGCACTGTCAAGGTGCGGAGCTCGGCGTCGTGTCCTCTCTATGGTCCCCCCGCTTGGGTCCATCTCGATCCGATCGTTCCGGTGCGATGCCGATGTCGGCCGTTCGAGATCCGATGCGGCCCAACGCTGCTTGCACGGTGGTTTTGTGCATCCTGGCGCGGCCGATCCGGTGCGATTTCGACTCCATGCCGATAAAAGGCCGATCCGATGCACATGTCGACTCGGTCACCCCACGATGCGCGACGGGAGCCGCGCGCCATGCCTCTCCGGAGGGCAGGGCGAGGGCGCGAGGCCGCTGACCTGACCGCGTGTCGCGGGGCGCGGTGCGCGAAGTGCGGTGACCCAGACGGCGAAGGCCAGGGTGGGAGTCTCGCAACCGTCGGGGTTGCGAGGCGGACGGCAAGACTGCACTCGGTGATGACCGTCGGGTTAGGAGCCCCTCTGCGTTACCCTGGTTCATCCTGCTGGCTCTTACGTGCAGCAGTGGAGGTTGCACCTCACGAAGCGGCACACCCAGCGAATGCCTGCAACACACAAGAAGATGATGCAACGCGTTCCTGCGCCGTTTGGGCTCAAGCTACCTTCGTTCAAGCGACGCCGTAGTTGCGTTTTTTTCGCACGTGTTACGCGCCGCTCATGTGCTCTGAGAGGGAGTCCGGTTCAGGTCATGCAGTGAGCCCGCAGAAGTTGCACAAGACGGGCTCTGATCGGATACGACACGTGGAAATATGCGCAGTGGACGCTGGCTTCGATAATACTGCGATATCGAAGTGGGAGCACGATTTAGGAAAAGCTGGCAGCTAAACAGAGTCCTGTCAAAGGTTTCAAACATTTCAAGACCAACATGCACGCAGCCAAAAGCAAGGCCGCAATCACAGACTTCGACTTCAATTTTATGGTTGATAGTCTAATGGCCATCGGCTCATCCCGCCACCGTGCCTGGACTGTGGGTATCAAGCTCATTGGATGTTCGTTGGGATCTCGTGGGGGGCCTCTCGGGGGCCTCTTGGAGGCAGTTTTGGGGTGTTTTCTGGCCTCTTTGGGTCTCTTGGGGGCCTCTTGGGGGCTTCTTGGGGGCCTCTTGGGTGCCTCGTGGGGCCTCTTGGGGCCTCCTTGGGGCCTCCTTGAGGCCTGTGAGCGGACGGCTCTGATTTTCGGTTTGTGTTCCCTCTCTTATGTTCCTTTTAGGGCCTTCTCGGGGCCCTCTGAAGCCGTCTTGGGCGCCTCTTGGGCCGTCTTGGGGCGCTCTTAGGCCGTCTTGGGGCCCTCTCGGGCCGTCTTGTGGTCGTCTTGGTGGCTTCTTGGGCCGTCTCGGAGCGGTCGGAACACAGAAAAGGCGAAAACGCCCAAATCCTTCAAGCACCACGGGGACATTAATGATTTTGGCCTCTCGGGGCCCTCTTCGGAGGCCTCTTGGCGGCCTCTTGTGGCGTCTTGGAGGCCTCTTGGGCCATCTTGAGGCCATCTTGGGCGTCTTAAGGCGATCGTTCGGCGACTCGGGGCCCTCTTGGACTCATGGGCGGGTTCGGGAGGTCGCTTTGGGGGGGGCACAACGTCCACAGGAGGCGCAGGAAACACCTCAAAGCTCATGGGGCTTGCCCGGAAAAGGCCCGGGAAATGACTGTTCCGGGCCCTGAACAACTGACAATTCTCACTGCAGCAGCTGCACAGCGTCTACCTCTCAGTGCTGCACGAGCCTTGGGCCACTCCACTTCGTGCCAGAGGCACGGTGGCGCATCTTTGCAAAGCAGATGACGCCTTGTCAGAAAAGCAGCGCAATAGCATGCAGCTCATTGAAGCAAAGTTACGCGTGTGGAGAGCGTTTCAGTTGAATGGAATCACCGACTCGGACTTGAAATTCATGATCAAGAACTCTTGCAGTGAGTCCTGGCCCGAAAATCAATTGCTCATCAGGATCGTATTGAGAGGCAGATGGACGTTGCAGCCGTTGAACAGCAAACATTGAGCGAATGGGAAGCTTTTTCAGCTATACTGCGACAAACGTCTCTTTCTGAGAAACAGCGCCCCTTCATGGAGAAGATCCAAAAGAAAGTCGGAGCATGGAGAGAACACAAAGCTGGTACCCTTGACTCGTGGCAACTCAATTTCTACGTGGACGTCATAGGCAATAGCCAATTTTTTCACAGAAACAGACGGCGAATCTTCGTGCCGCCGCAGAACAGATGGCCGATACACGTGGAGCTTGATTCTGTTGGGGATTGACTCGCGCCGCGCCAGGCGCCTGCAGGAGGAGGAGGAGGAGGAGGAGGAGGAGGAGGAGGAGGAGGAGGAGGAGGAGGAGGATCATGAGGAGGATGATAATGAGGAGGAGGAGGAGGAGGAGGAGGAGGAGGAGGAGGAGGAGGAAGAGGAGGGAGGAGGAGGAGAATGAGTAGGAGGAGGAGGAGGAGGAGGAGGAGGAGGAGGAGGAGGAGGAGGAGGAGGAGGAGCAACACCCCAAGGAAGAGAAAATGAGAAGCAGGAGGAGGTGACGGAGGTTGGGAAGGTGCCTCAAGTGGAGTGAGTCTGCCAATAGAACGGGACGGTTGTGAGGGTGCCGCTCGGAGGGCGGCAGTGGGGCCGAAACAGCCCAGGGAGGAACAGATGTGGAAGGGGGTGTCTTCGGATCGGGTATGGTGTGGGTTTGGGTCATGCTCGTGTAAAGGTGTGGAGCGGAGCTGCCGCTGGTACACCTGCTTGTCTAGGCGCCACCTCGAACCATAGAGGATGACGTGTGCGAGTCGGGCAGTCAGCTGGAGCGCCGCCGACGTTGTGCCGTCGTGTCTGCCAGTCTGCTGGTGCTGCTGCTGCTGCTGCTGCCGCGTGGCAGCTAGTGCAGGAAGCTGGGAGAAATGTAATTTCTCTCCTCCTCCTCCTGCTCCCCCTCCCCCTCCCCGCACCCCCTCCCGTCGTGAATCGTAGTAATACGAATAAGAACAATTGTGTTAACAAGACAAGTAGTGGCATCGAGAACAATTATATAGGAATACGAATTAGAATCATACTGCGAATGCTAACAAGAATAATGCCCAGACGAGCACTACGAATACTAGTACAATGATGGAGTTGATAATCATACTACTAGTCGTAGTACTACTAATACGAGTAATAAGAAGTGCAGACACCTAAAGGACAACATGCAACACTAATGTTCCGCGCGAGCAGAAACAACTTGCATATACGTTATCGGAGCTCCGCGTGGATTTCTTGGATCGGCGCTGGGCCAGTGGCGGCTTCGGAGGCGCCGCCAGGGGGGTCCAGCGCCGATCCAAGAAAGCCGCGTGGAGTTCCGAAAGCTTATGCTTATGCAGTGCAGTTTTCTATTCCTATCCCCCTCCCCCTCCTCCCCTCCCCCCCTGCTCTCCCCCTCCCCCCTCCCGTTCCCCCTCACCCTCTCCTCTTCGCCTCCTCCCTCTCCTCTTCACATCCCCCTTGCCCTCCCCCTCCCGCTCCCCCTCCCCCCCCTCCGTTTCCCTCAGTCCCTCTCCATCCTCACCCCTCTCTCCCCCCGCGTGCAGGCGCAGATCTGGGACACGGCGGGGCAGGACCCGGAGGGGGATGAGGGTAGGGGGCCAAGCAATTGCCCGCGCCATTTGCTCGCTGTCTCCCCCCCCGTAGCTAGGCAGAATAAACACAAAGAGGAGGAGGAGGAGGAGGAGGAGGAGGAGGAGGAGGAGGAGGAGGAGGAGGAGGAGGAGGAGGAGGAGGAGGAGGAGGAGGAGGAGGAGGAGGAATCATAATAATACTAATAATGTTAAGAAGCGTTTCTTGGTTCTTTCAGTTGTTGTTTTGTTGGTTCTTTTGTTTTGTTTGGTTCTTTGATTTGCTTTTCCCCTGCAACCTCCAGATGCTTAGACCAGGCAGGCGTGGCGTGCAGCAACCTGGACATTGAGCCCCCCCCTCTCCTTTGAAGGGGAGACACACATGAAAAGCGGGTGCTTGTGACCCCAAGAGAGAGAGAGAGAGAGAGAGAGAGAGAGACAGGCGGAGGGTGGAGGCACGTACGGCACCCGCCCAGCAGCACGAGACATTGTCAGCACCACCGAGCGAGAGGACCCCGCGCGTGAGACTCCACCCCGCAGCCGCCAATTGGCAGGGACACTTAACGTTTTACGCCTGGCAAAGGACAATGCCGAGCAATACCATGAGCCAGGAAGACGGAGTTCCACACAAGTCGGCGGAACAACTCTGACAAGAGGCCGTCACCTTCTCACTAGCAGCGCTACCCGACAAGGCACGCCCCGCGGAAAGCCGCTAGCTTACGATGAGGGCCTAGAGGCACACACGAAAAACTATCCAATGCCTGGGAGCGGACTGGGTGGCGCTCGTGATTTGCTTCGCCCATTGCCACTTCCGCCACCAGCCGCTACATGACAAATCAGCGACAAGGCAGGGGCAGGGCTTGGTGGCGCTCGTGGTCTGTTTCATCCGCTGCCACTTCCGCCACCAGACTGCCCTGACCGCAGACATCGCGGCAACCCGGGGGGGACTCACGCCAGAGACAGGAACGAGCAGAGGAGGGAGAGGAGACAGGACAGAGAGAGGCAGCCAGTCCCACAGCGCCGCGAAAAACTGCAGTCAAAAAGAGAAAGGACCAGGCTCGGGGAGTCGGCGGGCCAAGGATTGAGGCGAGGTCCAATCGAGCTCCCCGAGCTGGTATCCAGAACGCTAGCCTGCACTCTTGTGGGCCGTTGTGGGGAGAAACCAGGAACCGCCGCAGGGCCCGTTCCTTGAAAGTATGTGGGGGCGCCTCCCGAAGGCACAGCGCCGCTGCCGCTCTGAGTGGTGTTATGCCAGCTGGTGTTATGCCGGCTTCAGAGGCCCCTTTGCGGGTACGGCGGGTTTCGCAAACATACGCTGGACGCCTCCGCTTCGTCTTCCTCGGCGAGCTTCCGGAGGATCCGGGGCGCGAGGTTGTAACTCCAAGTGGTCGTGAGATGCGGGAGAATAAAAGCTGGAATCCGAGGGAGGAGGGCCTGGGGTTATGATGTTCCAACTTACTTTAGCTTTGATCGCCAGAACAAATTTCGAGCACCAGGACAGTACCGAACTTGGAGGATTTTCACGTGTCGGGCCCTGGGAGCCGATGCTCGTGCTCGACACTGTCTCGACACTTTTCTGGGCGCTCGAAATTCGTTTTGGGATGTGGCCCTCAAGTACGATGGGGGCAACGGAAGCCTGGGGTATCGCAGGCCTAGAGGTTGACACCAGCACCAATATCGGCGGTGTGCCTCCACCGAGGGAAGAGTATCCCAATCTCGGCGATGCTGGTGCTATTCTGGCTCCCTAGGCGGCCGAAAGATTACCTCCAAGACCGAACTCTAGGCTCGTCTTCCCCGTGTGGAGGCAACCCCCTGCGCTGGTGTTGGTGCCCATCTCCAGGCCTCCTAAATTATTTTTGCGATGGGGCCCTCAGGTACGATAGGGGGGCACCAGAGGCCTGGGGCAGCCGGCGGGGCCCGACGGCCCTCGCGCGGGCGTCCGGGGGCGAGCTCCACCCGGAGGCAGCGCGAGCGAGGCCGGCCGCGGACCCCTGGCGCCTCCTCGCCGCGGGCAGCCGTGGGCACGTCCGAGGCGGACGCTCGAGCTCGGACCCGTGGACGAGTGGACAACAGTATACTACAGACGAAAATGGCGGTGGGCAAAGCGAGTGGCAACACACTCGAACTTTAGATGGACAAGGCTTGCGGCAGCGTGGGAGCTGGAAGTCCACGACAATCGAATAGCGCAGCGCAGACATGGACGACAACGCAAGCGGTGGTGCGACGACATATCACAGTTTATACAAATTGCCACTGGGAGTATCACCAAACATTGGTGATATTATGCTTGTGACCAGAAATTATGGGACAGCTGGGAAGACGCCTTCCTCCACCGCATGCAATAACCGGGCTCCGGCCCACCCGCGCTGCTCCTAGGGGGCCCGCCAGCCGTCCGGCGGACTCAGCGCGCTCTTCCTTCTTCTTCCTACACATGGGGGGACGCAACGACCCCCAATCGCCCACTGATCGCCGATTGGGGCCCGATGGCCCCAGCCTGCCCATGAAGGTGCGGAGTCACGATCGCAGATTTTCACCGCCTACCAAACCACCCCAACCCAACCCGAAGGCTTCGATTTGCCCTCCCTTTCCAGTTGGGGGGGGGGGTTGGGGAACACTGCAAAAACACATATATGGAACCTGTACCCCCCCCAACCCGAAATTCGGGTCTTCGGGTTGGGTTGGGGTGGTCTGGTAGGTACTCAGGCTTGTCGCCGAGCTATCGGCGATGTATCGCCGATTCCAGGTCGATGCATCCCCCCCCATGCCACTCTCCCCCTATCGTTGCCCCTCAGCCGCATCCGAGGAACGAACCGGGCAAATCACCTGTAGCTGTGGCCTTTTCGGGTGTCTTCTGGCGGCCGTGCTCCAGACCCTACTGCCAAACGTAGAGAAGCCGTCTCGGAGCAATCGGCATTTCAATTCTGAAACGACCGTGCGAGCTATCGCGTTTCCGCCGCTTGCAAATCAGCATATGTGCGCCGTCACCGCAACGCAAGGCTAAACGCCTGTGTTCTCGACTGGCTATGTCTTTCAGCGGGCTCCCTGGGCCCAGGGCAAGCACTCCGCGGAGGACACTTGGGTCACGAGGACTGGTGCACACAATGAGGCGCGCAAAAACATGTCCAGAAGTTTCCTACATGGCGCCGATCATGCTGCAAACCCACATGAGGAGGAGGTCGAGGAGGTTAGAGGTATTCAACCTCCCCAGAGTCCCAAGAAGGTCGGAAACATGGGGGAGGAGGTGCATCGAAAGGATGCAACAAGCTTTTGCGTGCTCCCGATGACGAGTGGGACACTCTACCGCTTCTAGGTCGACTGGGTGCCTAGACAAAACATGTTTTACCACAGCATCCGCACCGTCGTCTCCCTGTCGCACGACACGAAGCTCGTCGGAGATCGAGGGGTCTTCGAGGGACCGATGGGATCTGACATGGTGCACAGCAGGAAGCCTCTCAAACCTGTCCTCTGGCCTGGCTTACGAGGAGTGGCCCGCACAGGTACGCTTGTTTGATGACTGTTCGGCCCGGGAACGAGAGCGAGTCTTCACTACCTTCGCGCAGTCAGCAGTGAGCTCAACCGGAGCGGCCACGTTTTGAAGAGCAGCCACGCACCCACGGAACTCAGCAGCCTGCGGGGGGCCTGCGGCAGGTGGGCCCACTCAACCCCGGAGAGATCCTGCACAGCGGCTCCTATCGCCGAGGAACAGAAACACAACCGGGCTTCGCGAGGCCCTGGAGAGCTCCTCGAAGACGTGACGGTGGCAGGACCCATCGGTGAGAACAAAGTCTGAAGGGCTTCCTGGCTGGGGAGGCAGGCCAGCCACAACTGGGGGAGCTGTGGTCCTTACCCCCCTGGGGGACCCATCGATTTCGACACCCCTCTCGAGAGATCGTCGATGCGATGGGTTCCCCCAGGGGGGTATGGACCACAGCTCCCCCAGTTATCGCTGGTCGGGGAGGGTCGCGCGACCAAGGAACGTCATGCACACCGTCGCGTCCATGTGCGAGGGCGGAGGAGGGTCGTCCCCGGGGTGCGGCATGGCGCCCCCTCGTGCGGCGGTGGACGAGTTCGAGGAGTTCTCCACGTAAGCGACCACGTGATCTCTAAGACGCTCCTCGACTAGCTCACGCCTCTGCTCATCCAGGCAGTAGTTAGAGGAGTTCTCCACATAAGCGACCACGTGATCTCTAAGACTCTCCTCAACTGGCTCACGCCTCTGCTCATCCAGGCAGGGGCACTTCCGCAGCCGATGAAATGTAGGATCGGAAGCCCCGCCGCAGAGTTCACGCTCCGAGGGGAGTTGGTGCCCTGGCGTTCTGGCCAGCAGGCGTGCCCATCAAGGCACCAGTTAAACATGCACGGAACGCCCCCCTCATGGAGAGGAGCATACTTGGGGCAGGCGAAATACGAGCTGAACCACGTCGCAGCACCACCGATGCCCGAAGCCCTGCGTGCTGGCGATCCGACGCTCGGGGGTCCTGGAAGCAGCAGCTCGCAAATGGGTCCTGAGCAAAGCGGGCGACGGGAAAAACAATCCGTGGGTGTTGCCCACCTCATCGAGAAGCCTATCCTCCTCCTCCTCCTCCTCCTCCTCCTCCTCCTCCTCCTCCTCCTCCTCCTCCTCCTCCTCCTCCTCCTCCTCCTCCTCCCCTCCCCCTCCCTCCCCCTCTCCTCCTCCTCCTCCTCCTCCTCCTCCTCCTCCTCCTCCTCCTCCTCCTCCTCCTCCTCCTCCTCCTCCTCCTCCTCCTCCTCCTCCTCCTCCTCCCCCACCTCCTCCTCCTCCTCCTCCTCCTATTGGTTGAGTGCAGGCATCTCCCATCCCATCCTCTTCCAGGTGTTACGCATCGCAGACAGGGGGGCCCGACGCTGGGCGCCAGCACCTCGGGGGGGGGGGGCAGAAAGACATTTTTTTTGTCGGCGGGTCGAGCTCCTGCTCCTGCTCCTGCTCCTGCTCCTGCTCCTGCTCCTGCTCCTGCTCCTGCTCCTGCTCCTGCTCCTCCTCCTCCTCCTCCTCCTCCTCCTCCTCCTCCTCCTTCTCCTCCTCCTCCTCCTCCTCCTCCTCCTCCTCCCCCCCCCATTCCCCGGCCTTGGCGCGGCATCCCGGCACGCGGGCTCGCCGGCATCCCGGCACGCAGGAGCGAGCCTTTTCCGGTTAAGAGCTAGGCGGGCCGCGCAAAGCACTAATTGGGGAGGCAGGGCGCGGGCGGGGCAGAAAGGGGCAGAAAGAACACGTCCCCAGCAGTTTTTCAACACAGGGATAGGAAGGGCCGCCGAAGGCAAGTCATTGAGAAGCAGCTACAGCTCCCCATGCCAGCGACACGAGGCAAGCAGCTTGAGTCGGCCAAGCCGGGTCCTGCTCAAGCAGCGTCAGGATGCTTCAAGAATGCTGCCCAGAAGAGGGCTTCATGATCCTGCCACGGTTCCTGCAGAAAGAGAGAGAGAGAGCACCTCGGCGGGGGCGGTACCGTAAACTTCGCATCCGTAATTAGTGGCGGTGAGGGGGCCAGCCACCCAAAGTTTCTTGACACGTCTACCCAGGGTCTTAGAGAGTCGAGTCGGTCGGCACGGGCCGCCCCGTCGCGTCTTCTACGTTTGGCATGCGTATCAGGACCACGATGGCGGAGGGCCCCTCCTTCCGTGCCATTCCGCCCCCAGGTTGACCCCCGCGGGGATTAAGGGTCCAGTGAGTTCGAGTCCCAAGGCGCCCTGGATGGCCATCCCTGCCGCCTTCGAGGGGGTGATGAGGATGGCACCGATGCTAAGCGTGGCGCTCTGCAACGCCAATGCTCCTTGGAAGATTTCCGCAACTACCGTGTCGAAAGGGCCGATAGCTGAGATCGAGCAACTGTCAATATCAATCTTGAAGTCGGTGGCCAATGGCCAGGCAATAGAGTCGAGAGGCTCCAAGCTGTTGGCCCTTAACATCGTTGTAGCCATGCTGCAGCCTGCTACCCCACTGGACAGGGCGAAGACGGGCTCCGAGACCATGCCCTACAACGTGAGATACCGCACTGACGAGTATGCTGCGAGCGCCACGCGGCTGACGCCGAGGGGGAAAGTGTGCTGGACACAATGACGCTGGAGCTGATCCAAGGGAAGCGTTTCGTAGTACCTGACGAAAAATCTCACAACAAGCTGGCCGACATCAGGCCAACAGGAACCCCGCTCTCGGACTGCAGAACCTGTTGCCGTGCGGTATCTCTCCAGCGCCCGTGGAGGCTCCAGCTGCATGGGCGTGGCCTCGCACGATCCAGCTCCCACCTGGTCGGCCAGCAGCCTGCGAGCTCCGGCCCAGGCTCGATGAGGTGCGCAGAGCACCCCGGGACACGTGCGGAGGGCAGAGGCGGGGGTGGGCGGAGGAAGGAAGGAAGTGAAGGAAGTGAAGGAAGTGAAGGAAGTGAAGGAAGTGAAGGAAGGAAGGAAGGAAGGAAGGAAGTGAGGGAAGGAAGGAAGTGAAGGAAGGAAGGAAGCGAAGGAAGCGAACGCGACGAGGAAGGAAGCGAACGCGACGCGCTGTCTTTTCCAAGCAGGGGCCGGACAGCGCAGGATGGCCGGGAGCAGTGTCCTCGAGCTTCGAGCCTGATCTTCGAGCGGCGATCGACGACCCTCGCTCCTCGCTCCTCGCTCCTCGATCCTCGGATCCTCGCATCCTCGGATCTTCGATCCTAGGTTCCTCGATCCTCGGGCCCTCGATCCCAGGATCCTCGGATCCCAGACCTTGGATCTGGCCAGTGGCGCTAGCGCATCGCGTCCTCAGCTCGCATCAGGATGGGCCTTCGTCGCGGAGTCCCCTTGGGAACCCAAAACAAAGAAGTGTCCTCGATCTTCGCGTTTGCATTCTCGAGTAGCGACCGACGACCCTCGTTCCTCGATTCTCGATCCTCGGACCCTCGATCCTCGATCCTCGATCCTCGATCCTCGATCCTCGATTCTGGGATCCTCGGTTTTCGGTCCTCGATCCCCGATCCTCGGATCCTCGACATTCGATCTGTCAATTGGCGCTTGCGCATCGCGGCCTCAGCTCGCACATGGATCTTCTTCCTTCGCGGAGTCCCCTCGATCTTCGATCTTCGATCTTCGATCGAAGATCGAAGATCTAAAGCTCGATCGCTTGTTGGATCGAAGATGGAAGATCTAACGCTCAATCGGCGATCTTTTGATCCTCGATTGTTGGACAGCAAAACCAACAAATCTCTTCGTTCCTCGATCTTCGATCCTCGGTCTTCGATCCTCGAGCGGCGACCGACGACCCTCGCTCCTCGATCTTCGATCTTGGAATCTTCGACCCTTGATCCTCGGATCCTGGGCCCTCGAGCCTCAAACCTATGCATGTATATATATATATAGACACATACTATATACACATACGCACACACAAATGATATAGACACACTTTCATAACAAATCATTACTGTAAACAAATGGGCCCGAAGGGGTCTGGTCCGCTTCCTAGGGACTGGCTTTTCGCCCCGAGTCGTTGTTTGATGGTCCTGAGGCCCGGTAAGGGCTTCTGGAGACCACAAAGAGCGAAAACCTTCCCTCCGTGATTTTACACGACGAGAGGGGGTCTGTGTGCAGAGGTGAAACCTCGACCGCCAGACCTCTCCAGGGGCGCTTTTCGACCAGAGTTTCGAGGGGAATCCGGCCGTCGCCACGAGAGGGGTTGAACAATTCTCCCAAACTTGTATCCTCGATCCTCGAACCTCGGGAAATACCGAGAAACTCCGTTTTTTGTTGACGACGCGAGGGAATCTGGGATCGGCGACCGACGGCGACCGACGGCGGTGACGATCAGCGTCAGCCTCGCTGCGCCTGGGCGGCTGCCTGGCGGCGCCGCGGAGGAGCGGTACCGCGCGATCACCAGCGCCCACTACCGCAGGGCGCCCCCCCGCGAGGAGGAGGGAGGAGAGGAGGGGGGGAGGAGGGAGGAGGAGGAGGAGGAGGAGAGGAGGAGGAGGAGGAGAGGAGGAGGAGGAGGAGGAGGAGGAGGAGGGAGGGGAGGAGGAGGGAGGAGGAGAGGGAGGAGGAGGAGGAGGAGGGAGGAGGAGGGAGGAGGAGGAGGAGGAGGAGAGGGAGGAGGAGGGAGGAGGAGGAGGAGAGGAGAGGAGGAGAGGAGGAGGAGGAGGAGGAGGAGGAGGAGGAGGAGGAGGAGGGAGGAGGAGGAGGAGGAGGAGGAGGAAGGAGGAGGAGGAGGAGGAGGAGGAGGAGGAGGAGGGGGAGGAGGAGGAGGAGGGGGAGGGGGAGGGGGAGGAGGAGGAGCAGGAGAAGGAGGAAGAGGAAAACTGATGATGACGATGGTAATAAGAGGATTGCTAGCAATAGCAATGTTATGATGAAGAGTAGTAGGATACATCACACGAATCATAACCGTACTAACATTATTATTAATTTCACGACTCGTATACATAGTAACACGCTCAATGACAATAGTATTTTTACGAGGACGAATCATACGAATGCTAATACTACTAAGTGTATTCGTAAGAACACGATTACTGACACGAGTAGTCGTACGAACATAAGTAAGCATACTTTCAGTGACACGACAAACGCTTCTACTAATCATACTACTAAGACGTATAAAACTAATGCCAATAATGAGACGGAGATGCCGATACCTAATATTACTACTCACACTAAGATAATACGCATACTAGGAATACTACTGCCAATTAGCAGAAGAGGCATGCCAACCAACCCCAATACTATTACTGCTCATAATGCGAGCACTAGCAAAGCCATCACTAAGTGTAGTAAGAAAACTAATGCTAGCAATAGTAATAATAATGACTCCGATGGAAGGACCCCGCATGCTAATCCCCAAACGAATCTGGTTGTAAACCTCATTGTCGTCCTTGTGAATGCAGGAGCTCTCGTCCCGTCTCCTCTTCGCGCTTCTCCCTTCTGCCCTGGCGGAGGCCCTCATCCCGCCCCCTGCTCTTGCCCCTTTTCGTCCTCCTGCCTCTTCCCCCCGTCCACCTCCTCCCAAGCCTCTCTAGCAAGGGCGCTCGAGTCGATTGCTGCATGGCGCCGTCGCCGCATCGGTCGGCAGGAGCTCGTTTTCCGATGGCCAGATCGCGAAGCCGTTGGGGCAACCCCGCGGGCCAGGTCGCTGAGACCAACGCCGTCGGGCTGCTGGGGCGCGAGGTCAAGCCGTTGGGACATCCCCGCGGGCCTCTAGCTGCGCAACGCGGCGCTCAAGCTGGAGGCAGCACGAAGCAAATATCTGCTGCCAGCTGCTCAGCCTCATCCCTGGAGCTCTCCGCTCTCTCGTCGAACTTCTCGCGGGCCTTCCGCAAGGACGCCGGCGGCCCGCGCTCTGGAAACTCGCGCGAGGGCGGCCGCAGGATCAGCATGTTCCGCATGCACGTGGCGCGAGACAACATCACGTAGAGGTGCCGCCACAACTGCTCGTCCGACATGCCCGCGCGGCCCGCGTCCTCATACCTGGCACAGTCGATGGTGAGGCCCTTGCGCAACGCCTGACCTTGCGACAGCGTAGAGGTCAGGCAGGACGCGTGCGTCAGGGTAACCCCAAGCGGCGCGCGGCGTGCGGCCCCGAGCCTTGCCACGTGAGCTACTGCTCGTTGGGTCTGAACATGGGCAAGCTCCGTGCCCGCGCCTTGTCCTGGTCTGCTGCGTTAGCGCCGTCGGCGCCCTGTAGCAGCAGCTCAGCGACCTCCCGCCAGAGACAATGTAGCCCTCGCCTGAGACCTCTTCGCAATTCACTCACAGGCGGGGCTCCCGCCTAAAGTTTCCGGTATATGCAATCCTCAGGAGCCCAAGCGTGACGACAGTTACGGGTTTGCGAATGACTTTTTGGGATTTAGGCGTGAGGTGCGGGCCCCATAAGGGAGGGGGCTCCCGCTTATAACTTCCTCGCAATTCGCTCAGTGACGGGGCTCCCTCTTGAGACTTCCTCTATCAAGCCTCAGGGGCCCAAAAGTGACGACAGCTACAGGTTTGCGGGCGACACTTTTCGGATAAAGTACATGGGGCGAGGGCCCCATAGGGAGAGGGCTCCCGCCTGAGACGTCCTCGCAATTCACTCACTGACGATGCCCCCGCTTGAGGTTTCCTCCAGATTCACGGCTCGGGAACCCAACGGTGAATGAGCGAATGATTCACTGAATACCGGAGGAGTGAATGAGGATGATCGCGATCGTTGTCGTCGTGGTTTAGATGAGTTTGTGAATTTGCGAGCTTGCTATCGGGTGAGTTATGATAGTGATGTTTGTGAGAGTGAACGAGCGACTTGGTGATGACGATGATGAATCCGACGACTGCTTCCACTAATGATAAAGAGAAGGCGAGGAATAAGCAATTTTAGATGAATACCGCTAATAACAATAATGGCCGTACTAACAGAATCGTGCGGTTACCAATAATACGACTACAAGTAACAACAACGATCGTACTGCTATTGCTAACAATCGTACCAACAATCGTAGCAAACTTATATTCCGAATACGAATAACCTATTATCTTACGTGCTTTATAGTAACGAGAGTAACATTACGGATCATACGGGTTCAATACCAATCGTAATATTACGACCACTATTCTTTTTACGAGTAGTACGAAGCATACTAGTGCAACTATTTGTACGAGTAGTAATTCAACCTCTACTAGCCATATTAAGTATACGTACATCATTCATAACACCGATCGAGCAACCCGGATATCAACTGTATAAGACTCCTGAAGCCAGTACACACTAGTACCTAGTACCAACACTAAAATTACCACGCTTAGTATGAATACGAATCAGATCACTGCTGGTACTACTAACACGAGTGTTCGTGATAATTACATTCATATTACCCGTACTACGGGTAGTTGTTCGATTGCTCTTGCTATGATTGAGAATTATAGCAACCATACACAAACTACTATTTAGTTTGACTGTTACTAGTAATACCAGTTGTCGTACTGCGAATGGAAACACTAAGAAATACGACTAATAGTAACACTACAATTGATAGCGATACTACTTTAAATCGTGGTATTAATACTATTTGTATTAACGATAATCATGGTATGGTTAGGAATGCGATTTCTTCTTATACTACTACTACTACTACTACTACTACTACTACTACTACTACTACTACTACTACTACCACTACTACTACTACTACTACTACTACTACTACTACTACTACTACTACTACTACTACTACTACTACTACGACTACTACTACTACTACTACTACTGCTGCGACTATTGCTGCTACTACTTCTACTATTGCTACTACTACTGGTAATAATAGTACTAATAACACTGACAACACTTATATTTGTGCGGACACTGTTCATATTACTAATGCGAAATTTAAGATTACTGGCCAGGGGAGGGCGAGGCACGGATGATGAGGAGGCGGAAGAGGAGAGGACGAGGCGGAGGAGGAACAGGAGGAAGAGGAGGGAGAGACGGAGGACAGTGAGGATCAGGAGGAGGAGAAGAAGGAGGAGGAGGACGGCAAGGAGGAGGAGGAGGAGGAGAAGGCGGAAGCGCAGGGGGAGGATCAGGAGGAGGAGGAGGAGGAGGAGGAGGGGGAGGGAGAGGACGAGGATGATGATGCGGATGCTGCCGGTGATGCTGATGCTGATGATGATGCTGACGATGATGATGCTGATGCTGCTGATGATGGTGATGATGATGATGATGCTGATGATGCTGATGATGATGATGATGATGATGCTGATGATGATGCTGATGCTGCTGATGATGATGACGATGATGAGGATGATGATGATGCTGATGATGCTGATGATGATGATGATGGTGATGAAGATGAAGATGCTGATGATGCTGATGAGGATGAGGATGATGTTGAGGACGATGATGATGATGACGACGACGACGACGACGATGGTGATGATGATCATACTGATGATGCTGATGATGCTGATGATGATGATGACGATGATGATGACGCTGATGATGATGATGATGATGCTGCTGATGATGATGATGCTGATGATGATGCTGATGATGATGCTGACGATGATGATGATGATGATGATGATGATGATGATGATGATGATGATGATGATGACGATGATGCTGATGCTGATGATGATGATGATGATGATGATGATGATGATGATGCTGATGATGATGATGATGATGATGATGGTGATGATGATGATGATGGCGGCGATGATGCTGATGATGATGATGATGATGATGATGATGATGATGATGATGACGATGCGGAGGAGGAAGAGGAATGGGAGGATGATGAGAAGGATGAGGAAGAGGAGGAGGAGGAGGAGGAGGAGGAGGAGGAGGAGGATGAGGAGGATGAGGCGGCGGCGAAGGAGGGCGAGGCGTAGGGGGATAAGGATGAGGAGGAGGCGGTGATGATGATGCTGATGATGATGATGATGATGATGATGATGATGATGATATTGATGATGATGATGCTGCTGATGATGATGATGATGATGATGATGATGATGGTGGTGGGTGGTGGTGGGTGATGATGATGATGCTGATGATGAGGATGTGAGGATGCGGCTGATGATGATAGATGCTCTGCCTGATTTGATGCTGCTTGCGGGATGATGATGAGATGACGATGTGCTGATGAATGAGGACGAGGTGAGATGAGATGCTGATCTGATGCGATGATGAAGATGATGAAGATGATGAGGATGAGATGATGAAGATGCTGCTGCTGCTGATGATGATGATGTGATGATGATGATGCAGATGATGATGACGATGACGATGAGATGATGAAGATGATGTGATGAAGATTGATATGATGATGAGGTTGATGATGATATTATGATGCTGATGATGATGATGATGATGACGAGGATGTGATGATGATGATGATGATGATATATGATGATGAATGATGATGAT